TAGGAGGGGGGGTAGGATATTTTTCAACAAAAGGGGATGGAAGTTTGTATTGAAATTCGTGGTTTTTGGAGCTAGAACAATGAAACTTTTTTCTTTGGCTTTTTGGGAATAGGAGTGGGAGTATGAGTGCTGTCAGGTGAGAATATTGCGGCAAAGTAGCACTTACAACATAGATTGGCTGCTTTATATGCGCCCTTACATAAATAAACAGCCTAAATAATTAAAAATTGTACCCAAGTCACTTTTCCACGCGGACGAAGTCGCGGGCACAGCTAGTATTCAATAAATAACTCTGTAGAAGCTGAATTTAAATATGCTTATAATCAATACAGCGCTAAGCATTGCAGTCTTGAATACTGTTTAAAGGAATTTGCTCTAGGAAGAAAAATTATGTATCGCTTTGAATGTGTTTACATTTTTTTCTACTAACTCTTTGTAGATGTAAAGGCAGAGTCTAACGACCGACCTTTATGAGCATACCTAGTTAACAACGTTAATGAATGAATTGTGACTATATGAACTTCTTATATCATAACATTTAAGAAACTATGAACACTAAAGAAACGGTGAAGGTTTTGTCAGAGAAATTGCTATGGGTGTTAACACGGAGTTTAATTTATATCAAGTTACTATAAAAATTCAGAAATATTACATAAGTATATATGTATATTTTAATCATAGTGGAGCGTGGAGTTTACTTGATGGTAGGTGAAATACCCCAGCCTATAGCATCTAAACACGATGTGATGTCGACCTATTGTCTTAGATATATTATTTTATTGTAAATAATATTATTAACGAGCATATTCTAGTTCAGATGTGCTAAAAAAGCTATCTATAAAATATTGCTTTCAGCGCCATCTGTGAAGTGACGTTACAACCACGTTGTTTACGGAAACAGTATTATATACAGCCTTTCCGAAGTTTCGCTGTCAGCAATTAGAAACGAGCCCCAACAGAGTGCTTCGTGAAGCATGTCAAAATTTTATGAGATACATCGCTCCTTAGGTAGGTGTTAAATAAAATTACTTCTGTAGTGTTCTTAGACGATAAGCAATGGAAATAATATACAGTATAAATGATATACATGCAGACTATTCAAGTTAATCAAAGATGTTAGAGTTTTTATTGGTGACACAATATTTATATTAGTTCTTAATAGGTTTGTAATTATTATTAGAAAGCAAAGACCCCGTTAATCAGTGTGACGTGAGTAACAATGCATGGCTAATAAACATGGGTCGTGTGTTTCAACGGTTCGAACCACCATTCTGTTTCTTATCAATTTTTAACTTCTCTGAAGCATGTTGGACTTCGTCTGGAAATCTGGATATTAAATGGATGGTATGTTAGATGGCGTATTTGAACTTGCACCAAGTAAACTCTATGCTTGTCTCTCCGTATTTTCCAAAAGAAATGTTTAATATTATTAAAGAGAACACAATTAAGAACTACCTCAATTACAAACCACGAAACGTCAAACAGCTAGCTAAAAATCTTTCAAAAATACACCAAACACCAAACAAAGGGATACGTCCCACTTTCAGGCGATTCAAGTGACATTATGATAATATATAGCTCCCAGATCTCGGTTATTTAGCAATGATTACGCTACATGTGACAAAAGTTAGCTTCGGGGCGCGAAAGTTGAATTTTGTGATTAAACTGCGTTTAACTCGGAACACACTAACCTAAATGTTTTCATTTAATTATCACTTACGAAGTTAGTAGTGTGCTTTGACTTTGTTTGTTAACGGACTCGTGTTATTTCAATTAAACTTTCTATTGTTGGCTGCTTTTGATTAGCGAATTTATACGTATGTTCAAGTGTACTTAAGTTATTTGTTCTTGCAGTATTGATAGGTAGCGTACGAAATGTATATAAGTACGAAGAAGTTGTAATAAAATGTGATGAAGTACACGTTTAAACAATAAACTTTAACGGTTTAAAACGCGATATATATTAGTTAAGCTTATTTTAAAATTCGTTAAAAAAGTGTTTTATTTGAATATATTTATTCTAATAACTTCGATTTAACTCTATATAATGTTATAACAGAGTATTTGTCTGCGGCGCTAAGATATTAACGCATATTCCAGGACCCGACGCTTTGTGATGCAAATCTCCTGCTGGAGCCGTTTGGCCGAGCATCTGAATCTAAACAGGATACGTCTTTCTAATATATTTAGCAAGTGTTTTCTTGACAATCTTAATAAAGGCTTGTGTCTACGTTCATACATTTTCTGTTTGAAAGTGCATTCGTTGATACGGGACATTAGACATATATTATGATAATGTTTGTACGAGATTATAAATAAAGAATAAAAATTTGTTTAACAATAAGAAATATAGTATTTACTTATAAATTATTATTGTTAGTTTTATTATACTTATTTTTGTCGTTCTACGATCTAAATTAGAAATCAAGATTATTTTTTTGTTTATATATTCAAAGTTCAGTTGTGTTTTGTGTAAATTTCTTCCTTTGAAGATATAATAAACGAAATAGTTTACCTAAGTACAAGTCACAAATATACATAACGCTTAGTGTACGTGTTAACTTTGCTCATTCCTTCCGTTAGTGATTTCAGTTTTTCACCACTCATTTAAAACTAGTTTTTTAGAGAAAATATGGCTGCCAGCAGCGTTAATTTTTATTATTTATATTTTTGTATTTAAACGTCTTTCCCTAAGTCAAATACTTGCTTTCAAAAGCGACAGATTTTAAAGTTTGTACTTCGGTCTAAAGGTAGGTACTTGCTTTCGGAGTTCAGCGAAAACATACAAATAGAGATTTTTTTCCTGTCCATCCTTATTTCAACCAGCTATTTCAATTGCTTCATTATAGTAAATATAAATTTCAGTAACTTTGTTTCTCTCTCGATATTGACGTAATTTCTAAAAGAGAAAATTGTATCCATTCTATACCCTTACGTTCTCAAGTAGCGCGACTAAATAATTCACCACTATAAGGCGAGCCAATACGATGACCTATTTTATTCCGTGGCTTTCTTATGGAAAATGAAGGCTTTTCAAGCAAAATTGGAAAGCACAGCGGCCGGACTGAAATTTAATCACAGTCAAACGCTTGATCGTGTCGGACGCGTCACGGCGCCCTTTACACGATACTTTTTTAACTTATGTGACCAATTACAACAAACTAAATCAGTATTAGATGTTTGTCTGCCCCAGTCTATAAAATCTATGTTCCACCCAAATCATACTCTAATATATAAGATGTTAGCTCTAAATATGAAATTAACAATTTAGCCACAGAAATACTGTAAAAATACTAACTTAATCTTGTACTACGCAGCCAGTGCCACCTTTAACGTAATTTAGTAGTTGTTACATAACTTTAAAGGCGCATGAAGCACAGTCAATAAATTGCGACTATAGATTGTTTTTATTTTATTATAAATCAACATAAAAACCAAGGTCGAACAGTTAAAAAATATTGAGAAATATTAAATTGAAAGTAATTATTAATGTTACTAGGTTTTTCTTACAAGGCAGTTCATGTCTTCAAAGATAGTATTTGTTCTAGTTTTACCAACTGTGTAATCCTAAGTTTTGTAATATTTTACGCTTGTATCGTAAGAAAATACAATAAAAATACTACGCAAAATTTAGTTTTTTTTTTTACCAATATAGTAATGAGTTAGAAATACTTTTTGACGTTTAAAAATAGACAACTTTCTACAGTTAAAACCCTAAAACACTTTACTTTCAATCTGTACGATATCGTATCGGGACATGTAAATGTAAATTAATTTAGCAGGTTCAACAGCTCAGAAACTATAGTCGAATGAAATTGATTTAAATTTTTACCGATCGCCTATCGCCGTGTACACGTGCTCTTTATTGAGCTTTTATCGTACTACAAGCCTAATCCTTTCCCTAAGCCTTTCGTGCTCCTAGAACACGTAACATAACACTTCAAATATTAAAAATATAAAAGTATAAGAAGAGGCGGATAATTACGGATGAGCACTGATTTGGTGTGAACAAAACGGAACTTGAAAATGTCTCGTGAGAAATAAAACTTCTAGCTGCGAACAATGTCAATATCCAGTTTAATTGAAGACAAAGTTACCGCACTAAACTCTTAATATAAATAGCTCCACGTGTATGGCTCGTAAAGCGGAAAAGGATGTGCAGCCTTACCCAACACCAACTTAAAACCTATAGTAACATGTCAATCAAAAATCATATAATCTTTGTTTAATTATAAAACACTAACTTCTACTAAAAAGGTTTATGAAAACACAAAATAATTTAACATTTCTCAACTATTTATAAATATTCATATATATTCATTCATAAAGTTATGACACATAGCACCCACAGTCAAACAACTTTTACGAAGAAAAATCACAGATACCAACTAGAAATAAAAACGACTTGTCACTACCCCAACCCCGAACTAATTACGGTAAAAAAGTATATGATTTAAGGGTGCTGATCTGTACAATAAGTTACCTGAAAGTATAAAAAATGCCCAGTCTATAAACATCAAGAATCCAGAAGTTGCGTGACTAGATTTTTTTTTGCAAAATCAATTCCTAATTATTTTACTAATAAGTTTAGAAAAAATATTTTGTGTCAATTTTCGTAATAATTGTACGCATTAGCTCGTCAAATGAATTAAAATTGGGCTACAAAACGAAATTATTGAATGAAAGGTATTCTGGGTAATACCGTAATCGTGAGACTCGAGGGAGTCAAATATTGATTTGGATTCTAATTTACTCGGAAGCCTATTTACAAAATAACCTTTGAAGGCGACGCGTCGCGGCGAATCGGAATTAAATTATATCGGAAAAGAAGATTAACATAAAAAAGGATGAAGAACGAAGCCATCGGCCACTTGCGAACGTTCATCTTGGTCCAAAACGCATTCGGAATCAGTCGACATTTCTTATTAAGCACACGGACGTATAGAATGGCGAGTTTTGCGATTTTAATATTGTCGTTCGTTTTCACACTGTCTTTAATAATGTACGATGAGCTACACGAGACCGGTAAAGAATGGTATTTTTATGCCATAAAAGCGGTGGCCGCATTCGAAGTCGTATATTTGAGTGTCAGAGTGGGGAAAACTAAATTTTTCTTTAGCGCTCTTCAAGAACTGGACGATAAGATGTTCTCGATTGAAAGGGGAACCGTGAAGAACAAGAATATGTTTTTCATTGCGAGTCCCTTGGTGTTCGTGGCTCTCGATTCGGTCGCAATGAAGGTGGTAGGATTGCCGAACAGCGTTGTGGTCCTGGTGACCTTAGCGTTCTCTGTGACCGATTCGGAGTTAAGCTTTTACGCATCTATCGCGGAAATGTTCAGAAAGAAACTGGAAGCAATAATTCATATGAATCCGAAGATCGGCTTCGTACTGTACACGAGATTGCTGCTTAGCGCTATTAGTTTTTCTCGTGGGTTTCATAATCAGGTGAGTGCATGAGTGTACCATATATATACTGACCACAACATGAGGTCAGTTTTCTCGTGCTTAAACTGCCGTCACGAATGCTTACATTAGTCAGTCAGAAGTACCATCATGTTTGTTATGTACGACTATATCCATTATTAAACACTTTTAAGAGTTTCAAATGGGAAATGTATTACACAACTCATTATTAACTACGACTCGACGTTTTACAAAACATCTGACACGGCGGGCCTATAATTCTTTTTAAACGTAAGTCACCTACGGATAATCAATACTGGATTCAAAAACTATATTACGCCTATCTCAACAAGTGTGCCCTTAATTTCATAGTGATATTGAATTTCTTTGAGGTTAACCGCTCTCTTTTCTTTACAGACACTATTCTTAGTTATTATAACACAGCTCACGAGCTTCGTATTTGCTGGAACTATTATTGGAATAAGTGAAAATAAGGTTATTAACATTTTCAAATTGCACAGACATAACAATAGAAATTCAAGTGGATATTAATTACTTTCGTGTATCTGCCATACGTAGAGTGAATTATGATGCCATTTAAAAAACCTTACATCTAACGTCTCACATCCCATAGAAGCCCAAATTCATAAATACTATACGTTTCCCAATTTCAGGCTCTTTTGAGATTATTGTTTGTTTGGAGGGAATTGAGGTCTCTCTTTTATCTGTGGATCTTCTCTTGGGAAGTGGAGAGAACCAGTAAACTTTGTGAGCGGTTAAGGTTCCGGCTCGGAGAACGGATCGCATTTGACAGATTAGGTAAATATTTGAGTACTTATTTTTTTCCTAATTATATTGCATTATGTGCATGCTCAATTGAAAATTATGTATAAATAAATAACTGGAATATTTTTAAACTTAGATATGTATTCATTAGTATTGTATCTATATTTTTATCAAAATCTATATGAAGTTGAGACAATTTAAAACCAAACGCTTACTAATGTAGGTTACGCGAGTAGACAAAATTACATATTTAAATCAAACTTTTAACGGTTTAAAGCGTGTAATAATATTTTATTAAGTTAAAATATTTTACATTTATTTTAACTACGAATGTTGCATGATGGTAAAACGTCGGGCTGTAGTTAAAATGATTTAAAAGCAGGGTAATATTTAAAGATTCGCGTTTTATTTGAAATTAAATTTTCTTAAATTCTGCCTACATAAGACATAAGCTTGTGTAATTGTTACTTTAAAAGCAGGTAGATTTATTTGTAATGCTTTGATTAAATACATACCGTAAGACCTGCCAAGGAATTGAAACTTAGTATATAATTTGTTAAATATTGTCTATAGTTTACGGGAGTAGTTCACATTTAAATAAGATACTTTGCACGGGAGTCGTGGTCTCCCCGTGACCACGGCTGCTGCAAAGCATCCGAAACGTCGGGCCGAAGTTGAAAATTAATTTTCAAATAAGTTTAACTAATATATCGCGTTTTAAACCGTTAAAGTGTTTTATTTAAATATAATTTGTTTCAATGTAATAATGTCCCACAGCGTAAAAGACCTGGATATAGGTCTTTTACGCAAAGACAAGTTTTTAAAGTTCAGACCCGCTATGCTGCCCCAGAACGGGTTGTCGAGTTTTAACGACTACCTGCCAAAACCCGATACCGAAGCTAAAGTGCTCTGCGTTTCTTAAGTTTTATAGAAAGCTTCTATGATTATTATCTACGCAGGTTGTTGTTGTATTCCGTAACCTTTGAATTCGACATTCACTCACTTTTGCGTTTAAGATGGCGACGTGGAATTTTTCATCCGCCGATGGCTATCGTGTCTCAACTCGAAGCACCTTCAAACTTTAATCGGTACTACACCTGTTGTCAACGCGTACCTACCTTACAAGATAATAGATTGGACTTGCAACTACATTATCATTATCGTACAGGTATGTATTATTTACTATAAATTAAAATCGCTATCACTTATAAACACTGCTCTAGTATGTCAAGTTTTAAAATTTTATTGTCTTCCCGGGATTCGAACACCAAACCTATCTCTTTATACGTCACTTCTAAACAGCCATTTCTTATCTATCATTATTTGATACATTAATAGAGGCGTTATTGTTATTTTATTGTCACTCAATAACAAGTGTGCAAGTGGCGCCATCTAACTTTAACGACGTTTAACTAACTGCTTGTCATATTTACTTATTTCATTAAATGGAAGTCTTTTCAACTTGAAACTTTTATATACTGTTAAACGAAATTTATCTGAAACATGGTGTAGAGGTATGATAGTTCGCCATGCGGTATGTAAGCTTTAGACTATGGTTACATCGTTTTCTTTAATTATATTTATAATTATTTAATGTACCTTTATCATTTTTTAACATATAAATCTATTTTACAGATTTACATGGCTTATAACTAGCCTGCGCGTAATTCCATCAAGGTTGAATTGGAGAAGAGGGCAAATTAGTAAAACGAGATGTTGTAAAATGTAATAACTAGGGTCACCCAACAAATTACCGATTAAAAGGCGCCTGGTTCGAATATACCAAACACCTAATGGAGGATATAATTTATGAGGGGAACAGCAGCGATCACTTTAAAACTAATATAATCATATTATTTGAATACTTTTACTGTGCACAAGTTACTAAACACGCTAGGTGTTAACACCTACTGTGTTTATAAATCTGCTGTTTACTAACATGTAAATAAATAAGTAAAAAAAATATTCAGTTCTCATTTTTGTTCGCGTTTGTAAATATTATCCTTTCGTAGTAAAGTGTGTTGCACTCGTACTCTCCGCTCGAATAAACATTATTTATTCGACAATGAAAACGTTTCCTTGAAAAATATATAGGGTTTCGAGGAAAATGGTAATTTATTAATAAAAGCAATTAAATATTACGCCGTGTCGAGTCTTCTGAAATAGTACCACTTTCAGTCAGTTAGCATTTCTCACGCAGCGCTTCGTTTTAATGTCGAAACCCTCTCGCGATTCACAGCACGCCGCTCGTGTGCTCAGTGCCTCATTCGGAACGCATTAACAGCTAAGCTTTCTCCGTGCCCGAGTAATTTATTCTGTCGCAGCTCGTGTGGGATCCATTTGTTATTCTGTTATTCCCTTTTGATTCGCGAAGACGTCGATACGCGATTCAATCAATTCACCCGATTCACCCGAGTGTCAGACGCGTCTCAATTCATTTAGTCGCAGAGGTTCAACTGCGTAAATTGTAAAACTACGTTTCCTTTTTAATAAAATACTTTGATGGTTTAAAACACGAACTATATTAGTTATAATAGATCCCCAGTGAGTTACAATAAATTCTAACTCAGTTAACCAATCAATATTGCTCCATTTATACGAATACATTACATTTATATGTACCTAATAACATCTTATAAGACCCTACATCAAAGTAACCCCCCGTGTAAAACCATTTACCGCGGTCCTCGCACTGTAGAACTAATATCGGGACATTCTCACCGATCATACGCATACGATGTAGTCCAAAAATAATTTTACCTTTGAATAAGAAAACGTAAATATCTTTTCAGATTCCACACCAGTATGTAACAAATAAAATTTGTAATTATTTTCCCTTTCCGCTACCTCACTTAATCCCTTAGCCTAATGTATAACTCTAATGTATAACTTTTATAAGGTCATAATGCATGGACTAATAATGCGGTTAAAAAATGTGTTTTGATCTGTTATGTAACTTTGAATAAAAAATCTTTCGCGTTTGAAACCGTTTAAAGTGTTTTATTTAAAAATGTAATACTCGCATAAACGACAGACAATATTAAACAAATTTACGACATCACAGCAACATGATGGAATACAGCAACTCGACGATATACACTTTTTACAAAACATATGGCTAACTAGGTTCTACGCTCTGAATACATACGTCGAGTGTTTTAAAAATTGCTGCAGATATAAAACAACGTTCTAAGTAACCGAGCTCCCAAGCGTTTACAATATTACAAATTGTACCCTACATGTGTGATTAAAAAAGGCTTTTAAATTCCACGAATACGTCACAGACTTTCACAAACACAGACACAATTTATGAACAATGAACTATCGATAGCGATTTAACAAAACATATTTAGTCATTGTTCGGGTCGCGTCGTATTTTCATTCGCGAGTGCGACGGTATTCGGTAATATAGGATTACTGAAATATGAAATATCCTCTACAAAATTATTGATATAAAACAATGCTGTTAATTGCCAATGATGTGTGGACGATAGACCTGCGAGCGATATTCCGAAACGGGAAATGCGTCATTAGGCTCGGAACGGGTCCCGTAGCGCGGAGATGAAGCCCGGAGGCGACTTGAGTTCATCGTGGATTGCAATGAGAAACTATTTTATTTGCGCGGATATTGCTAACAAATAGTAACACAGGGAGAACAATGGTTATTCTGCTTCTTACAATAATAAACGTGCACAACTGCCTTCAGAACTGGGTCTAGAATGGATTTGTATCACTACATAGTATAAAACAAGTCGCTTTTTCCGTCCCTATGTACGCTTAAATTTTTAAAACTACGCAACGCATTTTGATGTGTTTTTTATAGAGTGAATTAAGAGGAAGGTATAGGAGAAGGAATATACAACGATCACATTTTTTTGGAGGCGGGCGGGTCGCTAGTGTGCTTATAAAAAAAATAAATGCTTATTCGCAACAACATTGTTTTTGAGTCTGAACCTGAACCTAAAAAAAAGCTATATCCCTTATGTTAACAATAGATTCGTGAATATAAAAAAAATGGTGATTAACATAATCCCTAGTTCCTTCAGTCGATTATAATCCCTACACGCGGCCCTAAATCGCTCTTTTGCGGAGCAAACATCGCCGAATATGAGCACAAATGGGCAGTTAATTGATTGGGTCCCTTCAGCACTTATCCACGGTCAACGCCGTCGGAACGATAACAGCGTCGTTAGAGCCACTCATTGTTTTCTCTGCGCAATTATATCGAGGAACAAGCGAACTGCTAATTACGAAGTGACGGCGCATTTTTCGAATTGCCATTTAGTGACACTTTTTACACGGCACCACTCTGCAGTATGGAATTTTCTCAAGTATATGAAGATTAAACCATTTTGTACGAATTAGTCTTAGATATCGATTAAATCTCATCACATGAAATAACCTACTTACAAAAAAAACATATTATACATATACTATGTATATCTCTCATTCATTAGTTACAAATTTACGAATTAATTAAAAATCATTTTACCCTTTTTCCTGAATTCTATAATCGAGACTCTATTCTACTTGGGTAGTTAACAAAAATTGTTAGATCACAAAAAAATCGAATAATTGTAGGATGATTTTATTACTTAAAATTTCACAATCATCATCGTCTCACTATAATATAAATTTTCAGTCGATTCACTTAAACGAGTTACACAACAACGTATTAACAACAAATGTGTATTTGAACAAGTTCGATAAAAGTATAATCGTACCCTTTCGATAAATTACGATAAAAATAAAACCGCGTACCTTTGATATGTACTGCTCTAGAATAAAAGACAAGAGACTCGGTAGGGCGTTTGAACCCTTAAAATAGCACAAAAATGGACATGACTTATTCCCTAGTACTAGCAGAATTATAATGATAGCGCAGTACTGAACGGTACTCTCAATTAAAAAACGTAGGGTTTGATAGTCTTAAAACTGCTTCACATACATACATCTAGTTATTTACACATTGTATCACAATGACGGAATACGCCAAAGACGTCGAATGCATATTTTCAAAAAAGATATGGCTATCTACGGTCTATCCTCTTAGTACATACCTCTGGTTCAGTGGCCGTCTCTTGTATTGCGTACACTATTATCGTGGCGTGTCTGTCTGTAAAGTTATCGGAATTGAGTCCACAAAAGTCAATACATATAGCTAACGCGGTTATATTCACTTTCGTCACCACACTGATCTTAGAACACGCAATCGTTCTTTAAAATGCATAAACTCATGGAAACTATTACAAAGAAATGGCTAATGTAGCTTCTGCAATACGCTCGCGTTGTATCTTAAAAGTGACTCGCGCGCGTGCCACTAAAAAGTGACTGACAGTGCGCGCTGACGTAATTCAGGCTTAGCCTTTCGCGATACGGCGACAAAAACACAAGTAGCCAAGAAAAACGTAACTACCCTCAAAAACATTTTTATTTTAATCCGAACACATTTTGTGTAAATTTTGATACATTAAAATAAAGTGCAATAAACATTGCCAATTGCATTACACTAATGAACCTTAACTAGATGAAATTATCAACAGTTTGCGTTTCGTAAAATTACATTTTAAAATTTATATAATTAATTTTATATTGTATTGCTTACCAACTATATAAAATATTTTACATTTAAGAAGTTAAATACTTGATCAATTTAATTATTTATTTATTGAAAGTTCTGTTAAAATAACGCCACAACGTTTAATTATAACAAATACAAATTTGATTGCATTCCCCATGCTTAGAATAAATACATAAGAAGTAACTACAGTAAAATCAGCCTTTTTAATGAAAATAATTATTTATAAATGAAACTTACATTACTAATTAAATACATAATTTGTGTATGTTTTAATATTACATTGCAAATTAAATTTACATTTTAAATTAAGTTACTTTGGCCAGTATTTACGCATTAACCTTATTTGCAGAATAAATAGCATATGGATAGTATTATTAATAAAATATATGTACTAATTTAAATGATTGATTTATTTTGATAGTGATATTATGAACAAGTCTACAATAGGGTAAAACCTAGTTTCTTTTGGCACAATGACTTTGATAGAGGTATAAAAACAAAACAATATAATATAAATGCATTATCTTTAGCGAAAAAATGTATTTTTTACATTTCAAAGGTGAAACTTGAATACTCCAACTTCATTTATCGACTGTTGGCTTTAAGCTATGATTTAGGTTTATATACAACTCTCGCGCACGTCGTTCGGTAAGCGACTTGCAGCTATGTCTGTACTACGCGCAGTCACTCCTCGATTCACCACCGATATATTCTGAAAATATATCGTACATAGAAATAATTTTATGGTGAGCTAGTGGCAGCCCATCTGTATATTGGGAAATACTCTTTTTTATATAATATTATAAATAATAAAGACTTCGCAGGCTAGTTTAAGCTACGGGCGCTGTAGCAATCACTCGTGCTACGCTATGCGAAGTGCCAAACTGTTTTGGACGGTCGAGTAGTGAACAACTAATATTATTTTACTTTAAACAGATCGATATTTTGTTGTTTAGGTAATACTTACGTAATTGTTAGCTATATGAGTGAATCCTCTGTCGTATATCCTCAGTGAATCGCTTTCGGCTACGCACCTCGCTTCCTCCATTTTCTTTGCTGCGAACAGGACAACTTTTAAAACCATAATGATGCATGAAAACTTACGACTACGCTCCTGTGTAGTCGGATGAACAATGTATAACGATTATAACTAGATATATGTCTTTTTCTTTTGTACTTAGGTCGGTTGTAATGTTTTTATTTTACTTCGGCCTCTTTGTCTTTACAGGTATGAAAAACATACGACAAACAAAACGAATGCGAGCGATTGTTAAATAAATTTGCCACGAGATCGTACTCTTCAGTCAATAAGGGCGATACAACACAACGCTACAGTTTATTATGAATACACGTAGTGAACCGGAACCATGGATCTGGAACATGGACGGTTAGCGTCATAGCCTATCAAACGGAATTGTCAGCGATATAGACTTATAAGGGATTGATTAATTACGAAGTTAAAGAATTTTCTTTCTTTTCGCGCAGAGATCGAATAATTGAAATGGGAGTTAAATGTGTCACACAAACAATGATATAGTGATTATTCCACATTAGTTTTCATCTACAAAACAAGTGGTACACTCACTGATTCTTTAAGTGAACCTTTCAGTAATTAGTAGAGTGCGACGCGACATATAATACCGGCGCGGGCGTGTGTTATGCACGAGCGAACGACTTCGGTGCACTCTGACTGACTTCAAAGTCACTCTTTCGACTGAAGAAATATTGCTAATTGCTAGTACATTGAATGCCTTTCGACGCTGCATGCTGCATGTATTATAAAAGGTTTTATTTGTTCCGCAAGGGCACTATTTAAAGTCGGAGTCTTGTCGGAGATTTTTTGTGAGACCGAAACATGACTGAAGACACGAAAATCTTTCATAGACAATTTTTAAATTACACACGAATATTTCGACTACCCACCATAATTGACAGGAATAATATCCGGATCTTCATCTGGATCCAGCTTCAGCTCGAATTGACTATTGTAGTCGATCTTCGGGGAAGCTGTGTATGTGTTCAGATTGTCTCTTTTAGGAAACGATTCCGTGCTATCCTCTGCATATAGAGCATTACTGTAGATTGAAAAATAATCTAATTCGAATGACGGTGACGGCTTATTGGTGTAATGATAACAATGTATGTCTTATAACCAACGGGTCGTGGGTTCGAACCCAACCGAGCCCAACATGTTTCTATAAATTTTTTCTGAAACTTATTGGACTTTGTCTGGAAATCTGGATATTGAATTATGATATCGGAATTTCTTCCGAGTTGCGAGCGTTTCAATTTGTGGATTTCAGAATATCTAAAGCAAAAATAGCTCGACAGTGCGTCTCGTTTAGCTGTTATATAGCTAAGGTATTTGTCTGTCCTCCTCCGTCACAAACAAAAATAGGCAATTTGAAGTAAATGAAAATTTACCTTTTCTATACTGACAGGTAAAAATTTAAATGATCTGACTATCTGCTTTAGAACAGAACAACTTTTAGCGGATCATGTGTATGTATGTACAGCTTTACTCACTTTGACGGTCGCTTATCAGCCGTCGCCGTATGTCGCCTGTAAGCGGCGGCTAACACTGCGCAGACGGCGGCGCTCAGCAGCGCTCCGGTGGCCAGCACTGACACCAACATCGGAGACAGCGACAGAGGACTGATGGAATCTATTAAAAATATGGGTATCAGCGTAGGCACGGCACGGCTAACTGTGGATGCCGGTTCGAACCCCGCCCGCGTCATCGAAATTTTTCAATTATAATAATAATATTGAAAAGATTTTTAATTTTAATATAATCCTATCATGTGCAACAATATGTGAAAATATTAAAGTCTTCACCAAATATTATCATCGTTTTTCGACGAATTTTTAACTCCGGAAATTAATTCCTTACAAATAAAAACACAATGAAAATAATTATTTTTCAGTAATACTTTTTACCTCAATAAAGTGTGACGGAAACGAGCTTTTTATTCAATAAATTACAATTTATGTTCTAGAATAGTATGAAAACATTCGTGACGGCCGACATTGGGTTATTAAGTTTAATATTATACATGACCGTCTTTTGTAACTGTCCCAACAATTGCATTGTCATGCGACGAATTCCTGTACGATCATTTATTCTTTTCTAGGAACAAAATTTACCCCAATATATCTCTTTTGTACGACTTTCATAAGGAAATCTACGTGACTTCTACGTGTTGCGACGGCAAGTTAAGTATAGTTTAAAAGTGATTTAAAAAATTGCATCAAAGTCACCGTAGGAAACAAAAGTACCCTCCGGGTTAAAACTTTAATATTTTTTACATGTTGGCACTATATAGAAATAAGAATCTAAAAAATAAAATAAAATATTTTTCAAGCGCTACCGAGTCCCACATTGAGTCAATTGGTTAAAGCAACGGATAAATTATTTTCTATTTTTATCTATATAGCCTCCGTGTGTTTTGTGTAAAATACAACCATAGTACGAATATATAAACTGTATACTCCGTTGTGATAATTATGTATATCTGATCCACTTGAAATCTCATAAAAGCGTATTACGACCGCAGAGTGAAAGAATAGACGAGTGGAAAATCCTTCAGCAGCATACATAATGCATAATATTCCATAATACGAGTACACTCGGTTCCGTCCGTTTTTGACTCTCATAAATATTAATTAATTTATGTAGATTTAATCTTCCACTGAGACATATAAGCAAAGGTCACAGTTTCCGTTTTTGGGCCAACAATTTCATTTCTAAAATCCCGCCTCGTTCTAGTACATAGACAATAGTAAATGGCTGGTGATGTTAGCCAATTTATTCTGTGTAGTTAGAGACAATCTCCTGCGTTCTACCAAATCTTCATTGATAGTTGTCGTCTCATGTCGTGTGAGACGTTTTAAATAACACAGGTTGGAGCAGAATAAAGCGCTCTATACCGCAACATAACAGCGTATGCTGGCCTATGATAAGCGCCTAGCTTTGTGACATAACTTAAGATGTAACCCAAAACCCAAGCCCAAATTCAAATGATATAAGTATTGTCTGCAATTTACGCGACTAGTGCACATTTAACACGAAGTAAATTAATCAACTTATTTTTATTCCACCGTCCCCTGTGACCACGGCTGCTACGACCCGAAAAGAGAAACATCGGGCCGTATTTCCAGTTTTAACCCTCATTCATCTCCTTTCACATTTACCATTCCTCAAAGTTTTAGTTTTATTTAGTATTGTTATTTATAGATTTGATAGATATTTGTTACATATTACATCACAATTTATTCTCGATTCGCAATCTTAGGAAACTATTGAAGATTATAATAGATATCCAGAAGTAGGGACTGAGTAAACGAGACCCGATATGTCGGCTCAAGTAGTTGGGAACTAATAAGCAACACTTATTAACAACTTAGCCGATAATAAACTCCGTCTATAGACTATAAACACTTGTTCACTATAAGTTTCAGCTTGTTAGGCAAACTCGGAGTTGTTGTTGCAAAAATAAGGTCCAATTATAATCGCTTACACTACTTACACAGATACGACGAGGTGCTTAAGCAATGACGGACTACATACATATGAAGCAGAAACAGTTAAGCATTGTTTAATAATAATAGAGAGACAATATCGGTATATTAGTAGACTGCAGTCAACAATTTTTTTTGTTGCTTTATTCCGTAAAATAAATTATTTTCGTAGAGCCGTTTTACAAAAAGCAACTGAGCGAAAACAATGAATTTTTACTTGAAATTTGTTCGTTCATTTGGCAAGTATTTTTGCAACCGCATAGGCCCCTGGGTTTAAATGTAACGGTTTTAGACTAACAAACGCTCACGTCCAATTCCACCTATATATTTTATTCCATTTTCGAATAGAATTCGACGATTTGTCAAAACCTTTTGTTCTCTCTATAAACGGAAAGACAAAACACAATTACACAGAATTTAAAAGACAGAAAACACAAGCTTATTCAATCTTACTGTACTTTGTTAAATGAAAAACTTTTTGCGACGAATGAATGACAGTAGTAGTAGGTCACGCACTAGTTGCTTAATTTTACAAGCGATTAGTTAATACCTACTGCAACTGTTTTGACGTGCTCATTAGTCTAATGGTAGCTGTGCGTGGGTAATAATAATCAACGGATCGTCGAAACCCACCGGACCCATAATGTTCCTAATAAATTTATAATTTGAAACATGTTGGATATGGTCTGGAAATCTGGATATTAAAATTTAATATCCAAATTTCAAAACGGTGGTATGAAAATCTAAATTCCGTCCGGGTGTCGAACCAATTTCAGTCTGTGGATTTCCGAAATTAGGCGCATCCTTTTGAAATGTTTTATGGCTGGAGTATTCTACCTTCCGTCTAGTGAACACCTTGCTCGTCTACCTTCTCTATTATATAAAAAAATCATATATGGTCCTTAAAATGTACTTATTTTGACGGCATACCAGGCGTGCATTTACGGGTTGGAATGCTAAGTTAAGCGTTAAGTGTCGCCGCAGCGAGATAAAAATGTACCGACACTGTATTGTTCTCACGTGCGCCGTTCAAGTTTGAGCGTATGAGACAATATAACTTAGTCTGCGCTATCAGATTGGCGCTCGGTTGCTTTCGGGGAATACTAACGATTCCAGGGACAATGGCGGGACAATGGCGGGCCACCTGCTCTGCGACTCTGTTCCGCGAGTTGCATAGTTTTGATGACGTCTAATTTAAATGGGACGACTCCAATGATAAATGCTACACAGGGCGTCTCAGTCTAGTTCTTGTGCAGGTTAAGTATTTATTTGTACGTAAGGTCTGTAAGGACATAACAGGTGGCACTAGTTGTGGTTAAATGAAATATAAATTAAGTAATAAACCGTTAAAACTCTTTTAATTTTTTCTCATTAGATTATAATGTGCAAATAATTGTTTATACCTTGAAAACTATTTGTGAAACTGTTAAATTACTGTGAGTTTAAAAAAAAACACGCGTTTTGTCTTTTCTAAATCACGTTTTATCAAAGTTTTGTGTAAAATTATTTTATATCCCAATTTTGACAACCGTTTTCTAATTTGTTTTTTATTGACGAGTAAGCGTATTTGCTTCTCTAAATTTTTGGCGATATTAAATAGTATAGTTAATCAATAATGAAATGTCCCACATGATCCCCGACCGACCACACCGTAACGCGGTTACGTTATGTAACCGAGAGCCGATTAACGCCCGTAATAAATAACGCTTCGGTTATCCGAAATATCGCTATTACATTAAAAATAAATACATTACAATCGACAATGAAAAATTATACCAGTAATATGCCATCACTACGTAGTACGACGTTGTCTGTCCGTCCCTATGTATGCCTTAAAAACAACTCGATAGATTCCGAAGCAGTTTTTTATCATGATTATCTTTTAAAGAGAAGATAGCATTAATGATAGAAAAGCTATAAACTTTATTTATAAGGACATTATGTAGTAGACATTTTTAGTATTAGCATTGCACCCGTGCTAAACCCCAGTTTCGGCCACATCACCACGGCTGCAAAAGGCTGCACGGTTGCTTGGCAAACCGGAATGTCGGGCCCATTAAAAACAATATTTATATATTTAGCGTTCCAAATCGTTAAGTGTGTACTCTACGTTACTCACTCACCATTAAAGTAGTACATAGTCTTCGATATTTTTATTTATATCTAATTAAAGACGCCCTATTGCATTTGGAACTTAAACTTGAAAGTTACATACAAACATAAATAAGTTTTACCTCGTGCTTCAAGAAAGCTTTGTCAAATTTACAGGAAACAATAGGAACGATATTGTCAAGAATCCTTTCAGAAAACGAAACCGCAATGGAAAGTTTTTACGAAGGATTCTCGGTGACGAGACACTGTTCACCTTATAAATTGGATTTAGTAAGCGACAACTAAACTCCGCTAAAGTAATTACAATCCTGCGAGTTGATAGCCATATCAAGCAGCTCAGTTTCGTTTCATCAAATTAGTGCGGTGGAAAGTTATGCTTCGCACTGATTTTATATTAGGGACCGCAGGCGGGAGACTTGGTCTCGTGGTACACTTAGGCTTGCACAAGGCGTCTGCACTTTACGCGAGTACACATTCAAATAAAACACTTTAACTGTTTAAAATGCGAGTGTCTCCGCGTGACCACTCAACTAATAAATATAGCGTTTTAAACTATTAAACTGTTTTATTTAAAAATATGTTAGTCAGTGATATCAGTATCTGGGTTGATGATACATTTAAAATGCTTTAGCAACGCAGCGGTGCTGAGAAGATGAAACAGGCCATTATTTCTTCATTATTGATCAGTCTGTTCGAAAAGGATTACTACAATGCTTAAGACATACCCGTATAGCGATCGGGCGAAATGACAGTGTACAGTGTCAGTACTTCGCCTCGTCCCTTGGCGTTTGCAGCGTACAAGTTGAGCAGGTAGCTGCCTCGGGCGCGAGGCGGCAACCCGGTGGCAACGAAGGTACTCCGGTTCGACGTTATGTTTGCTTGCATCTGTCAAAACATACGGTATAACTATATGTAGCGCAACATAGCATAACATTAGTCTATTACGCTAAAGTTAGTCTAACTACGTCCCGTCTACGTCGAGAAAAAGGTATGACTCAGTTGTATCAGGCGTATATAAAAAAAAAGTAAATTTTTTTTCTTTGTTTTATTAAACCTTTTAATAATTCCTTACGGTTTTTTCTTATTTATTACATTATTCCGTATCCCTAAATAATAAAACACTTTTTTATTTATTTAAATAATATTGGTTGTGTGTATATTATGTGAGTTGATTGATGTGTGACTTGATGTTATGGGTGTGTGAGAAAGTGATTGATCATGAGGATGTATGATGATTTAATGATTCTTCAATTTCCTCTCTTTACACTACCTTTTTAACCATCTACTATTTTTAATTCTCAACTAGTGGATTTTTTAGCTTTTTATTTTGTACAAATAAACGGATTGCATACTTTACGACCACAAAAGCTTTTTCTCTTTTTATCTTTCCTTCTCTTTTTTAAAATATCTAATAATTGTTTTTTAAGAATTGTATTTAAAACATATAGCTTTCTAACACCACCCACTTTTTGGTAAAGTTTGGTGGGAATCTTATGGCAGCGAGTACATTACTTTTAAAAACCCCTCTTCCCCCAATTCTTCAACTTGGTCTTTGCGGCTCCACCCCAAATTACAATACAATAATTTAAAACTGATCTGCTAGGGTTATTAAATCTTGTTAAGCAGTTCTTTGGTAGTCACATGCCCAATTTTTAAAAATCCAAATTAACTTTCTTGCCTTGACATCGCTTCTAATTGTGAGTACCATAACGGTTTCCGTGTTTCTTTGTACATAAGTAGTTATTATGTACAATTACCCAAAACTTTATTTTGCCCTCGATGGCATAACACAGCTCGATAGAGATATATGTTTCCACATTATTTCTGCAAGAAAAGAGTATTTTTACACTTACGATCATTGAAGGTAGTTCCAGCACTTCCATATGAAAGTCCTGGAGCAATCCACCGTCAAACCCCTCTTCGCACTCCACCTGCAAGGCTGTGGTGCTCTGGTTCACCACGGAACAGTTGTGTAAAGATGTCGGGACACCTGTGTAATTTATCTGTTAATTATGTTGGCACTTGGTAGTTATAGAACACGATTCAGACATCAAAGGGAAATCCGTGAAGAGTTGATAATTAAATTAGAACTCGACACACATCGTACAACAAATTGACTTCGTCAAAGTTATGAATTCTGTGAAAACAAATAACACTGAATATTGAAGCTGTTAATTGTACTCGTATTTATGTCATTATAACATTATGACAATAGAATAATTAATTACTAGATAATAATAAAACTAATATATACTTATAACATACTCCTATATTAATGGAACCCTTTTTCTGTAATTGTTTTCCTTTCGACGTAATTCGTCTGGCGCACGGCATTAAATAAAATCGAAGAATTACAGCCAAACTCAAAACATTTTTAATTTTAATTACATTAATTCGGCATCCTGAGAGCGGCAATAGTTACTTATTTAGCGGGATAAGTGGCGTTCGTGTCGAAATCCTCCGCTGAAATTGCGCAAAGTCTCAAAAGTATAATGCACAAATTCGACCATCTCAACTTGTTTAATAACTAGCTCCCCCGCTGTCGAGCTCTTTTATAAGCACTTTCGAATTGTAATTTTTGAGTAACTCGCCATCGTTCGCGAAGCTTCAGAGAATATTCCTTAAGAAATTCCAACACGTAATTTTGTGATAGTTAACCGATTACCTAATGTTTCAACGCTGTACTCACTTCAGACTGCGCTACTCCGAGTACGTATAATTCAGTTTAGGCAAACCAAACAAAGACATTCTCATTCTTGTTATCGGGTTGCAATGACAATTTCAGGCCAAAGCACAGTTTGCGTTTATGAACAGAGCACAAGGCCGATAGCAAATAAGCTTAAGGAAATTATTGTAATGTTTGTAGATAATTAATGATAACTTAGATGATTGGATATAGGATATGCAACGACGACTTCACAAGGATGGGAACGACCAAAATAGAAACAGTCATTTTCACAGTGTGATATGATTCGCAGAAATTAAAATGTAAAAAGTGCAGCGCAGTCAATTGGTGCAGCGTAATGAGGCGCAATGGACCGGAAAGTATTCTAGCCATTCGTTACCGCAGCCGGATTCTCGGGAGAAATTATTTACAATTTCCGAGGTAACATTTATTATATATACTTGCGTGGGCGGCTAATGAAATATCGATCGCTCGTGAAACGATTTCGGTTCGAAGAGCGTGCGTAGGGAACTCGACAGTCAATATCTACAATAACTTAAGTCTTATTGACGTCGGAGGCACTTAGAGGACTCGTCTAGCCTTTGATTAAATGTTCTTTCTATAGCGATAAGCGATTTGATTGATGTTAAACGAGGAGACGCTACAAGTGCATAATGGAGCGCCGTCGATCCACGTAATTAACGTATATTATTAACGGGAAAGCCTTTAATCCATTTCACGTGAAGGATTAGCACTAGAGTTTAACGGAGCTGAACGCTTTCTAGTTGGTAGCATCTTAAGCTGAAGACACTTTAGAGGATTTCTGATCTTTTGACTCGACTTCTTTGTCAATACTTGCCTCGTCTATCCGTCGGAATATTATGTATGTAGGCTACATACCATGGAGAAAAATCTAGACAGGAATAGACTAAATTATTACACCCAAGAAATATTTTTTGTATTTTGTTACTACTGCAACGTAAGCACTTACCAGCAGCAACCAGGGTAAAAGTGCAAGGCTCACTCTGCCTTCCTGCTGTGTTTAGAGCGATACAAGAGATGATGCCGAACTCTTCTTCTCTACTTGGGGTGTACAACAGAATTGACATTGAACTAGATGATTTGTACAAACTGAAACAAACCATTTATTTTAAATCTTTTTTTAGAAATGTACCCAAAACAAACGACACCATTGCCGTATAACATGAAAATTATTTAACATTTGAATTTAACTTTTTATTTCTTTCCCTTGTTTTCTTTTGGTCAGAAATAATTTTGCCGGTGCCTAACGGAACGTAGATTTGATTATTTTTTACAATAAGCCTTATATTCACTTTGGATAGTCGATTATATACCTGGTCTCCAATTCTCTGTACTCCCCAGAACTGTTGAAGGCCCACAAGAAGTTGTCAGGGGGTGGGTTGGAGTCCACTTCGCACTTCAACTTTACCGTCTCCTTTTTCAGCGCACCGAAGACTTGGCCGTCTTCTGATGATATGCAAATTGGGGGATCTGTATCGATGAAGCTGTTTACTCTTATTATATCGTAGAAAGTTCTGCAGTTGGCATATTAAGAAAGTAAATGCATTGGAATTCCATGGGATAAACATTTATATCTAGTTTTTCTTCGCGATGTAAAAAAAGGTTTCAAACAAACAGTAAATATGATTATATAAATACATATTTACACTAAATACTGTCTGTAGTTTGTTACATTTAAATAAAACACTTTAACGGTTTATAATTAAAATATATCGCGTTTTAAACCATTAACGTGTTTTATTTAAATATATTTACACTATTATTCAACAGCTAAATCTGTAGTAAAATTTGAACGGAAATAACACGAAACGAGTACAAAAATTCCTCCACGCTCGATGTGTTCAGCGAAGGCAGTAATATAGACGGCGAGTAGCGGTAACGGCCATAGTGGCTAACGGCGTTAGGTTAACGGCCCCGCCCTTTATGTGTTTCGTTACGGCAACGAACCGTTCGTCCGATATATCGCGGACGCGCGACTTCGTTATTTTCAGTACAGTTTTAGGCGGAACGAGAAATTGCGGCGAATAACTTGTCAAACTGACGAGTGATTGACGATGCCAGCCGGTGATTAAAATATGTATGAGACCTGCACGGTGCACTAACGTGCTCCGTTGGAAATACCTCCAACGACGAAGAGTAAAAAGAACCATACGGATATTGTAAACTTACATCGGACTTGCAGCGCCACCGCGTTGCTAGAAGCGCTTCCTTCTCGGTTTTGTGCAGCGCAAGAATAGTCTCCTGAAGCTGATCGCTGCACGCTCTGTAGCACCAGGCTTTGGTCGCTTAAGATCACTCCTGCGCTGGAATTGTGCGTGATCTCCCTACTCTGCAAAACATTACTACTTAAAATACAACAGGCGTCAAGGTTAAAATAAAATGGCGCGAAAGGCGCATGTATCAATTGGTTGAAAGCGATTCAACCTATAGGTAGCTCAATTGCGTAGAGAACTTTGTTGTGTAACGCCGTGGATGCCGGTTCAAATCCTGTCCATGTCTTAATTTTTTTCAATGTAAAATCGTTTCAAAAGTGCTGGATTAAAAAAGATTATCATCCAAAATTCATATATTCGTGTCACCGAGTGCACTTATGAACGATAGAATAGTTATTAGAAACTCGCCGCCACTCTGTTTATCAATCCCGACAAGCGAACAAGAAAATCTGCGATATGTTAATAACCAAAGAGAAAACTTGGTTATAAATTCTTAACGAACTGTCTATACTAATATATATAAAGCTGAAGAGCTGGTTTGTTTGAACGCGCTAATCACGCGTGGAAATTGAAATCGACAAAGCCGAAAAGGAGGTTTGCAAAAAAAAAATTGTGCCCAAAATAATTGTTCTGCGCAGACAAAGTTGCTGACACAGCTAGTCGTCTCAAATAAGATAAAGGTTCTCAAATCTTAACTCGGCGCCGTAATTAATCCGCTAAGACTCGTGCCGATCAATACGCCTAATACACGCGTAGATTACAATAAATTATTGTTATCCCCGAGGCTTTTGGAAACTAACTATCAAGGATGAGTCAATCGGAGACAAATGTACGTCGTGATCGTGAATATTCCGCCGATACGTGCCCTATAAATTGGACTTAGAGGATTTTGTTCCAGTTAAGGCTGAAGATTTTCTATTAATTTTTTGCTTCAAGATACCTTCTTGCAAAAACTAATTTCAGAATGGTGTCTAAGCTTGTTTAAGCGAGTAGTACCTACATAAATAAAAAAAACAGTCGAGGTGATTATGGTTTTTTTTTTTTGGGGGGTTTTTTTTTTTGGGGGGAACCCCCGGGGTTTTTAAAAATTTTAAAAAACCCTTAAAAAATTTTTTTTTTTTTTTTTCCCCAATTTTTTTTGGGTTTTTCCCCCCAATACAATACGTAAACAAGGGTGATAATGGTCAAAAGGGACTTAAAACTTGGTCGCAGGACATCTATCTTTCTATACTAATATTATAAAGGGGAAAGATTTGTATTTTTTTTTGTAACGAGTAAACCCCAAAAATTCTCCCCCCAATTTTTTTTTTTTTTTTTTTTTTTTTTTTTTAAAACTCCTTTTCCCCCTTTTAAAAAAGGTTTTTTTTTTTTTTTTTTTTTTTTTTTTTTTTTTCCCTTTCCCCCCCCACCCCCGGGGGGGGGTAAAAAGCATAACCATATGATAACTATTGTAGTTACGTCGCTATAACTACTTTTTTACATTTAAGAAATTGGTAGAAACGCCAATCAAAATCAGACCGTGTTATCCGTACCTTTTATAAATTTACATCCGAATAAATAATTTAATATTCAAGACTGTCTCAATACCTGATGATTACTTTTTTAATTATTGAAATCAGACATTCCATTCAAAAGATATCACGAACTTAAAATAAGAATGCATGCCGGCGGTGGCCGCCACGCCGCGCATTGAGTATCTAATTCGACGATAGAGGGGCAGTGGGCGCGAACGACATTGCATATTTGTTTTTTTTTTAACATTGTTATGCTTCACTTAAAAAGTTCTTTTCAAAGCTACTTAGTTTAGTAGTAGGAATCACACTTTGCATAATATTTGTCAAACTTCGAATTATCGCTTTGAACTTGAATATTTTCTTTTGTATTGTTATTAGTTTATTCTTAATTTCCCTGATTTAAAATAAATATCCTTCATAGCAATATGCCTAGAAGAAGAAGGTCGCAGCTATCTAAGAATAGTTCCCAAGCGAGATTAGCAAAGTTTATCGTATTGGAGTCGTCTTACTAAAATGATCATCTGGAAAGTATTATAGTGTACGCGTCCCAATCGCAAGCCAGGAGAATCTATCGTCGAATGTTCAGGTTCGTCTTGCAGAACAAAATGCGAGTTCGTCTCAGCGACTTGAAGGGAATAGAGCTAGGAATTCGCGACCGCGTGCACGGGACTCTTTACACTGACACGCTTAGCAGCGGCTCGTTAACAGCTAGGACGCGAAATACATTTTTTTATTCTAATTTAGTGATTCATTGCCTTTTTTATTAGCATGCTTATAATTTTAATATCTGTACTTATTTATGTCTACCCGTGCGAAGCCGGGACAGGGCCGCTAGTTATAGATATAATTAAAGTGTATACCTGTTTGTACCAAGTGAATTTAGTCGGCGGGGGATTGGCTCGCGCACTGCACTCGAAGTAGACGTCATCGCCCTCCCGAATGTGGGAGGGACTCAGGTTCGATCCCAGTTTGAGACTCACCACGGGCACATCTACAACGATGTCAAGTTTAAAGTAATGTCGATATAACTAAAATACCTAGTTATAGCTATTACATACAAAGTAATATCTTTTTATTATTACTTAACTATTGTAAAAATTAAAGTGTCGTAATAATGGCTTTTTTCATCATAATATTGAATGGAAATCCTAGGGATGTAAGTTACATACAAAGATATACAAGTTATCATTAATATTCCAACACCCTTACCTTACCTTGTTACCGTAATACTAAAACATATGATTTTCAAATACATTTTATAATACGAATCACAAATGCATAAATTAATTTAAACTTGTATCTATTTTAAACGTACAATCACATAAAATTATACCACTAATTAGCGAAGCTATCGCACTCTAAAAATAGATTAATTTGGAAACCATATTTTAGTTTAGTTTAAATTATTCCTTTGTTGAAAAGTACAGCATAGCACAGGGGACAACTAAAGGCTAACTAAGGGTAAAAATAAGTTACCTTAGTTACTCAGCAAGAGATTTATTTTTTCAGAGTAAAAACGGTTAACGTTGGAGCCTTATTGAATTCGTAACTTAAGTTATTACAACCGTATGCAGAATCGAGTGTCCAGCAATCAATGTAATATGTAGGATTCCGTCGGAAATGTTGTTCATTTAGATAATAACTTTAATACGCGCCAGTAACTAGTTTGGCTCCCGTGTAATTACAGAACTGTCCATCTGACCGAAACATTGACGGACACCACGCCTTTTCCACAGACTACCCGCGACCAGTAGGACTGTAAATATTGTTTTTTGTTAGTTCCAAAATAAGATACAAAAGGGTTAAAAAAACGGCAATTTTACTTTTCATCACAAATAACAACACGAGAAAATATACATATACTGTCTATAGTTTACGCGAGTAGTACACATTTAAATAAAACACTTTAATGGTTTAAAACGCGATATAATAGTTAAACTTATTTGAAAATTAATTTTTAACGGGCCGAAGTTCTAAATTAATTTTCAAATAAGTTTAACTAATATATCGCGTTTTAAACCGTTAAAGTGTTTTATTTAAAAATATACATATATATATTTTTTTAATTAGTTATCGCTGAAATCCATATTTTTTTTACGTTCATCGTTGAAGTAGTCTCATTAGGAAACTTAGCGCGATGAAAGGCCTGCTTACTACCCGGATCTCATTATTTGACTTAATGATTTGTTCCAGGAGACACAACTTCGATGGGCACCCCTAGTTTTCGATACATTGCAATTATTATTATTTGCCTCTAACATCGCTAAAAGCTTTTGAACTTCGTTTGATCCATAATGGTTATTCAGTTTACCGATCTCTACATGCATTGCCGTACGATAATTGAGTTAAAGTTTTTTGTGATGAAAAAGCCAAAATGCAACGCACTAATGGGAGAATTGATTTAGTTAATGCATTTCTAGTAATTTTGAAGACCTTACCTTCAAGCTAAGCTCGGTATTCGAGATTCCGATTTTCGAGACACTCAAAGATAAAGGAAGAACAAAACGATTTTCTTAAGCAATTGAAAACAGTCTAGCTTAGGAGTCTACTTCCCTCTTGCGCATACTTACAAAACACGTCCAATTTCCAAGTGTCTTCGAGAGTGCTAGCCGCGAGTCGCGGGTTCTCGGTTCGACAGGTCAACTCCGACTCGTGATCTTGGGCTTCCGGCACCAACTGAACCATGCTTGTAGTCGAATTGGCGTCAGAAAACTGTTCAAGAGATGATGCGAAAAGTGTTATGTGATATTAATCATACATTGTACATAGAAAAGCAATTTATGAAAAGATATATTTTCCTTGTCCTTAAGCATTATTAAACAAGTTGTGTTTACAGTCACGTAGATCTTGCTCCCTTCCGCAGAAACATCATAAATCACCACAAGTACTGATACTATCTTCCTAACCGGGGACAGTCAAAAGCCGTGGCCCAGTTGCTTAAAACAAACAAGCCGTAAAATGTTTAAACGGCCTACTTTCCAATCAAAAATGTGCACACGGCACCTAGCTATTCGCCTTCAGTTCATTGGAAAAGCCTTCGAGCTATTCACAGTTTTCGGGAGTTTGTACTGGCGTATGCAAATTCAAACTTCTGTTAAAATGGTCTTATGTGGAGAATTTAGAAAAGATATTATAAAACTGGTTAAACTAACTTTAGTTGAATTACTAAAAACACTGCTGTGTCTGTTGACTTACTTGTTTTACGTGAAACTAAGAAAAAAACAAAACTGAGTTCGTATACATTCAAAAAATGTATATTTTAAACCTTATGATCTATTTATCGAGCGCCGATTGCTAAGAACTGTGTTCGAAGAAAACTCGATCAACCGATTAAGAGTTGAACATTATTCGCGTAAAGGGGGAGTTTAGACACATTTCGCTCCGTGAACATAACTTCCTAATGATTTCCGTGATTTCCATCCCTGTGCGTCGGGCTAAAGCCTATTTTCTGTCCATAAGCAGAACCAACAAGTAATGTACGGTGCGGTATGGTTCCAAATTATAAAGGTTAGGTTGCATTGTATTATTTTAACTACATTATGATATGAAACATTTTCTAATTATTTAAAGGTTCGTTCTACAAGCGATCACAATAATACGAACGCAAAGGAGAGTATCGTTTCCATATTTTGTGATAATAACTAAATGGGTCGGTACCGGCCCTCTTGATTCATCTTAATAAACGCTATCGCAAATTAATTACGCGACATAAAAGTTGTGCATATTATCCTCCAATCCGGGAACTAAAATATGGGTCGGTCTATGATACTTGAAATGTTTAAGCGAAATTTGCACGTTCCAAGCTAATTTAAAATTTCACATCACATCGCTCTTTTTGGCTGCAAACAGCACTATTTACTGCGAAGTTCCGTCGCATCAGTGTACAATATCACAACATCTGAACTCCTCGATCGTTCCACGTGACCTATTTGCATTTTGTATTCTCGTTTATTATCTTTTTACGCTCGTACTAAAAACTATACAAGCGTGATAAATTCTACTGGTGAAATCTTAAAATTGACACCTTCTCTATTCGCCTTACGTCTCTGTCTTACCGCGGTTTTATAACATCAAGTCAATTCGTCACCATTTATGTATGTCCGAAGCTCGATGGCGATAAATTGTAAAAGTATACCGTACCACACCATTTCAGTGCAGCGACACATTCCAACGAGGACCAAAAAGTAACAAGCGCAAGCGTGGATGCAGAAACGTGGTCATATCAATAAAGAATCGCTTAAAACAAACAGCCCAAACGTGTGTTTAATCTAGAAGCCTACAGGCCCGTGCAAACAGCGCCGTCGCCGCGTGAAAAACCGCCATTTTTAAGCCTGCCGCGTGTCCAAATACGACACTATAGATTTCTAGATTGAATTCCAGGGCATCGCATACTGTACGTGGGATATTTAACCCAATGAAAAAAGGTAACAATAAAACGAGCGATTCAAAAAGTCTTGTTTTCCAATAAACTAAGGTACAACCATACGAGGTGGTAACATGAGAACAGGTTCAAATGTCACATTTAAATTTAAGAAAACAGTAGTATTCATTAGAACACAAAGGGTTATTTGTCGTTGTGGAGTGCCTCACCTATTTTTGTGTGTTGGTTCGTTCGCAACTACAATAACTCCCAGTCAACGAACCGCGAGCGACTCGGCGCCATGATCGATAAAACTCCTTGTTAATGAAATTCCATCGAGCAGCGCACAATAATATTATTTCAATACTTTTCCGCGGTCGAACTTTGATGTACGGCGCTCGGCTCCGATCGCCGGGACGAAAGTTCCTTTTAAAAACTTTCTTAAAAATACAAAGTAATTTGTTTACGAAATCGTGCGTAACAGTTTCGCCCTTTCTGTCGCACCCACCATTAAAGTTTGAATAATTAATTAAGGAAAACAGTACAAAATTAAAATTTGATCGATATAAAGTGTCTTTACAGCAAACGATAACTTTGTAATTATGTGTTTGCGTGTCTATCGATAGTGTTCTATGATGTTTATCGTTACATTAACTTACATTCCTAATATTCTTTTTGAGAGGCTTCGACGCCTTCCACCAGGTGATCTGCGCGGAAGGCCGGGATCCGGTGCTGATACATTCCACTTCATAGGTGCGGTCTGCGGATAGGGGGCCTCGCTTCTTCAGTATTTGCACGCTCAGCGGCCTTACTGCAGAGAAAAACCTTTTCATATCCACCAAGATAAAGTTCAAATTCGAATAAACGAGGAAATTTTTTACGGTGAACGCGTGATTGGAAACTATGGACGAATATTCCCAATTTTCAGAGACTCGATCAAAGTGCTCGTATGCGGAGTGTTACTGAGTTGTCCATATTGAAAGTTAATAATCTTAGATTATCTTTCAACCTGTTTCTTTGAGAAGAACTAAGCTAACCCACCCGCGTACAATTATTATAGCCCATTCAGACTTTGCTACCTTGCTAATGATCTAAAACAAAGAATAGTGCATAAGTGCATTTTTAGTCTTCTTCTGGTGGTCTTTTTCTTCTGAATAGTCATTAAAAACTTATTTCAACTTGAGCTGAAATTATAAACACAGTTCTATATTCAGTAAACCGCATGCTTGCGGCATCATACTATATTCAATAGTTTTTTATCAATACACGTTTATCGCTCTATAATAGCTGACAACATTTTCTCAAGGTTTCAGTATTATGTGACCGATTCGAGTCGGTCTTCTATTTTTAAAATTACAAGTTAATACGTATAATATTTGTTATATGAAATGATTATGATTCCTACTTATACAAAATTCCAGAGTGAAAACCCGCTAGATACATCAGAACTGTCCGCCCGAGAAATAAATTTTCCCGGATTAAATTTTCCTCACGGCCGAATAAAATGCGGCTCAACGATTCGTTATTATATTTACCAACCGAGTTCAAAAGGTGAAATCTAGATTTAATAATTAAGTTGAATAGCTAATAGTGCAATGCTTGTATTACTTTTTCTACTTTACCAATTTTCGTTAAGGTCACAGATAAAGCATTTTTAAACGGTTTTATTTAGCTCGACCCGTACGGAATTTATTTATTTGAGTCAAAATTAAAATTTAAGCACCTTCCTGTTGTGAGATTGATCTGAAATTTGGTACACACATTTAATTTAGATGACGATACAATATAACAAAAACAATAATATTATAAATGTAAGAAAGCTGCCGATACAAAATGGCGGATAACATTTTGTCCTTAACCCCTTCAATATGGGTATCAAATGAAAAGGCTACACTAGTAAAACACGATGATTATGTCAAAATTTTTTTTCGCAATTTTCAGTGCACAAACAAAACCGTTTAAAGTAAAAGATTTTTTTAACATAAACGATGCGATGCCGATACATTTTGGGATACAAACCTACATTCTGTTGATCATTAGAGAAACGTTGATGCTATTGGACCAACGAGCTCTTCAAAATCCGGTAGTTCTACTCGTACACTAATGCGAAGCTAGTGATAATCACTATATCTAATTCATGTACGAGTAGGTACTTACAATATTTGTCAAACACAGTTTGATTGTTTAGTTACGCGGTATCACGTTGCGATTATTTTCAGGGTAACGGCAGCAATTACTATGAGTCAATAGCAAAGTTCGATGACCCACACGTTTATGTTAACAGTAATATTTTGATAATTAGCGAGGTTGCTGAGTGAATCTCTTTATCCAACGCTTATAATATTTTGTTATTTTCCGGGATTGGAACCTCGGATTGGGCCTGCCTTTTTCACTTATTATTAAGTTCGATCTATGTGGCAAATAGGACAATCGGTATAAAATTCTCTCTGATGAGATCTGATTCATATTAGAATTAGCAAAATTTGTATTTAAAAATTAAACTTATGGGACGATAAATGGGTGTCAACATTGTTTATTTCTTTTGTTCAATCGAAATTCAATCAAAATTGGTTTTGTTATTTTTTTTTGTAAAACCATCTTTACTTACATAATGTATGGTTTTGTAAACTGTGATCTATTGTAGTAAAACTTTTACGAAAATACACAGAACAGTACTGACTACTCACGGTTGATGTCAAGTATGAGGAGTTTGGTCAGCGGAGGCGCCAAGTTTGTGTTGGACGCCTGGCAGATGATCCTCGAGTTCAGATGCTGCCGTCCCACGCGCGGAAAACTTAGGGAATTCGTCGTGACGCCGTCGTCTCGCCGCTCGTATGAATCGTCAATTATTGTGTTTTCTAAATACCAGATGACAGACGGTCGGGGATCACCTGTGAAAATGGTCATTTCCTTCTCTTATATAAAATTCACCTATTTTCAGTTTACACTTTTTCACACAGTTTTTCCGTATCCCATCAATGAAGTACTTCGGAGTTTAATATTTTTACTTTTTAGTGTTATGTTTACTAACTCTTACAACATTATGTTAGTTTAGTACATGCTGTCCCGTTTGTGTCTGAGATTTTCAATTTATTTTTAACTTTTAATTTTAAAATGTTAAAGTTACTTTAAATTTCATTATTTTCCTACATAATGAACATTGTAAAACAAATGCTTTGTACATCTATTTACTAGGTTCTGTGTTTAGATATTATATTGAAAAAAACCGTTTGCCTTACTTTCTTTAGTACACTAGCTGTGTCCGCGACTTCCTCCACGTAGAATCGATATTTTGGTCATAACAATATATTTTTTTCTAACCTGCTCTATATTTTATAAATTATAGCTATTACCGTAGGGCGCGTCCCGTCATTCTTAAAAGATATATTGCAAAAAAAATTATGTATCATTGAAATAGAAACCATCCTTCCATACATATTTATTGGTTATCTTCAACAGTTTTGTCACTGGTAATTTCCAATGATGAACAAACCCCCCCGTTCTTTTCCCCTTTCCCCCCCCCCCCTTTCCCCCTTTTACCCCCCCCCCGGGTTTAACCCCAAAAAAAAACCCCCCTTTCCCCCCCCATTTTTTTTTTTTTTGCCCCCCCCCCCCCCCCCCCCCCCCCCCCCCCGGTTTTTTTTTTTTTAAAAAAAAAAAAAAAAAGATTTTTTTTTTTTTTTTTTTTTTTCCCCCCTTTTTTTTTTTTTTTTTCCCCCCCCCCCCTTTTTTAATAAACCCTACTTATTAGATATTTATCATTTCTAATTCATTTGGATAGCTTTTAATACTTTAAGAAATCCAACTAGACACCCTGATTGGTGATTGTCATGTCGATAAATGACCGATGGAGTCTCGAACGAGGAATTCCAGCTAATTCGAGGCTCGGACCTAGGCTTCCCCGAACTGAGACTCGATTGCGTTTCACGTTACATGCGAGCGACTCCCACTCACAAAAGCTCTTTCCTCCAAGAGCTTTTGTGATCCAGTTTTGATAGGTGCGGAATATTTGGGAAGATCTACTTAATAGGTACAAAATAGGCATATATTAAATTGCGACCGACGATTTTGGTAAATATTTTTGTTAAACTGGATGTTCGGCACTCTCATCGCATTTAAGGGCTTGGCTGGTTTTAGTAGATAGTGTCGGGTTTAACAGAATAATAAGAACATGTTCAATGTTCTCGCGGAACTGGTAAGTATGGAATATTTCAGGCGAAAAGAATTAGTTTGATTATAGCTATAAAACTAAAGTCAAAAACTCTTTAAACTAAAGTAAAAATTCAACCGTCTTTCAGTACTAGTCGTTACCAATCTAATAGAATAAGAATCAATTTCCTGGTCGTCTTATTCAACTGGAGCCATTTAAGTTTTCCTTTTACATCGTTTCATCTCAGTCTAGTTCTTATCTTAAATCCAAATATATTACACGTCCCTACGCACACGAGAACTAGTTTGTACAAGAGAGTGAGGTTTAATATGATTTTTTGAAATTTGCATGTCATTTTGCCTCACCTCAATCATATATACTAATGTATAGAAATGATAGAAAAATAAGTACTGTCTGTAGTTTACGCAAGTAGTGCGCATTTATATAAAATCTAATACGTTTCTTATAATAAACTGTTAAAACGGTTATAGGTATTAAGATAAGGGAATGATCAACTAAAATTATAAACATAAATATTTACTATTTTTTTAACATAAAAGAGCTCTTTACCGTAAATAAAACCTAAATAAAATCGGACTTTTAAATAAGACATTTTAACTAAGTTTAACTAATATATCGCGTTTTAAACTGTTAAAGTGTTTTAATTAAATGTGTACTACTCACGTCAACTATAGACAGTATTTAAAATCGGACAATATAAGCATAATATGTCCTTTGAATTTGCAGTCACATAGTTATAGGAACTAGGCGATATTTACTGCGTACGGCGTGACGTCACTAACCCTCGGCGGCTGCCGGAGAAAATAGATTAGTTTCGGAGTAAAACGTAGATGAATAGTAATGGCCACGGACTCCCGTCGCCGGACATTGCGATACATTGCAATTTATTGGAGCCTCTTTCACCTCTATCGGTCGTGTGCCGTGGCGACCATTCGTTCTTAAAATAATTTAAGGGTTGTTAGTTTTCATTGTCGCTTTTCAAATATAATTTCAGGTAGGCGTTAATTATTCAAAGTCTAAATTAGCTTACTTCACGTTACATCTATTTACATAATAATTTCTGAATCGCGAGTCTTTTAACTCAGTTTAATAAATGTGCGGCAACACGCCCACTTCTAAAAAGATCTAGAGAGCGAATTACCTACTTTCCGATCACAATTTACACATCGAAAAATTATAGGGATATTCATATTACGCATATTAGTTGCACAAGCACATTTTAATAAATCCCTGACCGAAATAAAAAAAGTGAGATCCGAAGCCAGGACCATAAGTCACGCGTCGATCACCGAGTAATGCCATAATAAATAAAGTAGAAAAACATACACTCGTTAATTAATTCTGCTTATCATTAAATATCTGAAAACGAAATGAAATATGGAAATGTAAAACGCGAAGTTAACATGAAAAAGTGGAATAATTTAGCAGCGAAGTGCGGTCGAAATTATTTATAATTTAAAACATCGTATATCGTTTTACGCGTCGGCGTGGTTAATGTATTTTCAATAACGTAATCCGACCTGCGAATAATGCACGTCGAGCGTCCGCGTTAATCACTTCATTGGTCTAAATATGAACTACCCTCTTGCAGGACGCGTTATAGAGTAACACTTGCAACCTTCGGATGCTCAGGACACTTATCATTGTATTATGACTTTGTCTATATCGTCTGTGTCATATTACGAAAGAATACATTTTCTTCGCTTGATTTATCTTTGCGAAGTATATTTTGCCCGATATTAGATTTGTACTAATATTATAAAGCTGAAGAATTTGTTTGTTTGAAAGGGCCAATCTCAGGAACTATAGATTGGATTTGAAAATCTCTTTTTGTTTTAGTTAGACCATCTATCGAGAAAGACTTAAGCCTATAAAACATCAAACTACAATGAATAAAAATCTAAGAAACAAAGGAAAATGTGGAAAAAATGGGGAAATCTATATATTTGTGGCATTCTGTTTTATTGAAATCAAATTTCGTCGAAATATTTTGTTTGGCAAAAGAAGGTTTGCCATATAAATATTAGCTTATAAAATACCTCCATAAACTTCGCAGAGCAGCTCCAGGGTGTCTCCTTCGTCATATGGCTCAAGCAAACGAGTGAGGTCTCGGGTTCTTGCGTCCATTATGGTCGGTCTATTCGGTGGAGCTAAACAAAAAATGTATTGTATAATTGTGTAGCGCATACATAATACATATATCCATTATACATTTGAAATTATTAAAGTACTCAAATATTAAAAGTGCATTTATATACTAGAAATATATGCTTGAAGAAAATCGCACAACGCTGTTTTCAGTCTGTTCCCTCTAACTGCAGTTCCGAAAGGTATCAAGACTAATGTGAAACGTAGACATTAAAGCGACAAAAAATATTAATTGACTCTTCACGTAGATTGGCGAGGACGCTTATTTTTTGATCATTCAAAATACAACCACGACATAATATCACCTCAAACCCGATTACCACATTCATAAGCTATAACCAAAACAGTCACCTACATAACAAGAGGTGAAAATGTGCTCACACGAACTTCAGCCGAAAAATAGATGACCTCTTGCCCTGACACTGAGTGCTAACTGTGAGTTATAATTCTTAATTTCTCCGTGTTACTAGCTTAATAGCCTATAAAAATAAAAAACTAAGAATATTGTGTACATCATAACATGCGTAGGTAGAAATAACGTTTTTGTGCATATAAAACACTTAACAGTAACTGTAGCAAATCATCTGAAACATCGGGTCGTAATTAAAGTAAATAAGTTATAAAGCTCCGCATTTTAAACCGTTAAAGGTGTTTTATTTTAAAAGTGTACTACTCGTGTAAACTGTATGTGTTAGTAAATTGAGTAAGGCTTTCACGGCCATCGATCAGCATATCATTGTCTTTCGGGCTGTTCGGCCGATGTGTCACCAACGTTCTAACGAATGTTCGCCGTACGTTTTCTCAAAAGCAACTGCCCTACCCGCTCTACAGCGCACCCCCTTTTATAACAATGCACAAACAACCGACCACGGTTAGACGGACGTCATCGAATATTACGAATATTATTTTAAACAAAAATAATGATGTATACTAAGTTTAATTATATACATATACAAAATAATTCAAATAATCTGTTACATGCGTTACTTAAAGTATTTGTACTTAAGCTTGAAGTTTCAAAATTTATTTACAATAGCAGGTTTTAAATCAAAATATAACTCTTTGTAAAGGTGTATCAACGAAACTGTCTTAACCCAAAAGCATACGCGAGATGATTTAGATTTAAGTAACTAAGCAGTGTCCTTTGGTAAATGTGTGTGAAGTTCTGTTTCATGTGGAGCATGGGTCGGACACATTTGTGTGCCTGTCGCTCGGGTCGTGAATTACGGAAAGTTAAATTATGTTTCTCTGGAATTTAAATCTAGCATTTTCAGAGCGTAGCACACTACTAGTGGTAAGGAGACGACCCTTAAATAATAGAAAGGAATTAATGAAACGCGATCGCAGCTCTTTATATTCCATTGCACTCGAAGAAATTTGCTCGCGAACGGCGATACTCTAACATAAAAGCTAAAAGCCTCGTTCCCGAGAAGGTGCTATAAGTTAGTTTTAAAATAAAAGAAAATTGCTAGGGAAATGTTACGAAACGGACATACATACTTCTGTTCCTTTGAAGTGAATACATAGCGATTACGTGCTTCGGATGTAGAGTCATCGGTTATAGATTTAATTTAATTCAAGCGACTTGTTCCACTTTAAATACGTTTTAGTTCTTTTGGAAGACATACAGAAATATCATAAAATGCTCTATCGCGCATTGTCTATTTTAACTATGAAATAGATTAAGAGACCGAGTATCGTCTGTACGTGAGTGGTGGATATTTAAAGAAAACTCTTTTTATCGATTTTAATCGAGAAATGCATGAGTTAACTTATGTATAATTTATTTGAACAACGGCCCGACGTTTCGGATACTTTGCAGCGACATTGGCCACAGGGAACTAAGATGGAGGGTGGCCCTGATGCCATAGTCAACGTTTTACTCTAGCGCCATGTGTTCGTAGTATTTAGAATAACTTGCGTAGTTAAAATCAATTATAAATATTTTGACTAATATATTTCGCATTTTAAACCGTTTAACTATTGTTTAAATGTGTACTATTCGTATACACATAAAAGTATTTTATTTCACAGATTGATAGAACAAAAGAAAACAATATATAAACAGTATTATGTGCACATTATCTTATTTTACTTAATTGAATTGGAAAGTTGACGTTTAAATAAGAACTTCTTTATTATAGAGGTGCATATGTAGGTGACGTCATCTTATCGGCTTTGATATAATCGGCCTTTGTCTTACATCTATCGTGCAAAGCAAAACCAATGTCTTTGAAAGCCGATATCGTGTTCGCTACGCGACCGCAGCCGAAAATACAAAATCTGAATAACAGCCAAACCCAATTTCATAGAGCTTACGTTGTGTGTGTGTTAAAATCTTTGCTTCGGTAATCCCTAGTTCACGAAGCATCGGTTCTGACTTACATTTTCCTCTTTCCTTAAGGGCTACGAAGTATCGATTTGGCAAACATTACAATTCTCTTTATATGGAGTAAGGAGGGTCAGAATGTCAAAGGTTTGACGTTTTGAATATGACGTGTAAGGTCACTTCGGAACTTTCGTGAAACGAAAATTAAATTAGCGAAGGAAAAGTCGGAGGACAAATAAACTGACTCTCTCGAGGCTTAAGTATTGAATAAAGAAGGATTGTGTATTTTTATTACCAACCTGTTAGGAACGTGGATTTTTTTTAATACAATTTACAATTCGAAAGAGACTAGAAAATTGTATTTCAGCTATTCTTAGATTGGCGGGATCACTTCATAAAAAATAATTAAGGTCTTTACTCGATCTCAGCTTACAAGCGAATGAATCATTATAATTATTGACCTTAAAATTAAGTCCATATGTAAATTTCTGCACCGCCATTGCTCATTACTCCATATAAAACGCCAGAGAATAAGGTTCGTGCAAGGGATTCAATTTGTAATTAGAAATTGATTAGATTGAAATATTTTTTTTAAGAAAATTTAAAAAAAGAAATGAATACACCCTATTAGAAAGCTGCCTTTTATGTTTGGATATAGTCTACTTAGTACTTACTAATGACAGTGAAGTTAATCCTCAGATTGCGTGTTGGCGAATTCTTGAAATCCACCCGACACCTGTACACGCCGCTGTCCACGGTGGACACACTGTCCACGAGCAGAGTGGCCGGTGAAGCCGTGGCGCGAAAGTAGGCTCGCGTGCCGAATCCCGTCGGGGAAGACCACAGCTTTGGCTGGTACACTGTGCGCCCGCGCACATCGTAACTGTCAAGATACCTCCATAGTTAAGTATTGATTAAACTTCTTTATTTCTAAAACGATCTGTCAATGTATTCGCATATTCGTATCTTCACAACAAATAACATTCAAACAGAAACATTTTAATAAATTGTGTAAGGCTTTCACGGCCATCGTTCAGCATATCATTGTCTTTCAAGCTGTTCGGCCGATGTGAGCGAGAAGAGGTTCTCGACGTTTCGCCTCGAAGAATTATAATTCTTCGAGCAATCGAGGAGTTAACATCTCCTGATGATGCCGTCCACACGTGATGGCGAAACGTCGAGAACCTTGAAACCTTGAACAGCTTGAAAGACAATGATATATAGAATAACATTTTGTTGTTGCTTTGAGAGAACTCAAAAATTATATATATGTTCTTTTGTGTTATTCTTTTTTCTCGTATGAAGACCAAGGGGCTTACCGTTATTTGAATCCTTTTAAATACGACATAAAAATACTCAATTCACAACACGTTCCTATTGCAATATTCTTGAATGGATAAATGAAATTCGTGCAAGGTGTATTATTATTTGATGTAATGTCTCGTCCTTGAGGCCTTTTATTAATTCAAATCATTAACGTCTGAGAAGAAACCTTTTGATTGCACCGTCTGGGTATCGTAGTTTCAAATCATTATTTACGTTTGAGTGAATCGAAGCCTACTTAATGTTTATTCATAAACGCTTTTTGTCGTTATCGTATTCGAAAAGGCGGTTAGTAAAGGCGGATGGAGTAAGTTTCACCAAACCTTAACAAAAAATTGCAACTATTACCAGTGATAAATTTGCTGAAGTATGGTGGTAGTCAAGATATATTCCTTGAAATTATAATATATTAAATGTAGCAAACCACAAAACTAACACAAATTACAGAAAGTAATAAACATAGTATGGATTCTGAGCAACCGTACGTCCACATCCGCTTAGTTCAACTTCGATAATTACGTATTGCTTCAGTTCAGTCTTGAATGGACCGTTGTGGGTGAACTAAACGTGACTCGAACGCTCAGTGAGCACAGAAGACTCGGATTCATTAATATGCTTGTCATTTTAATTAGAGAAACAAATAATGCGCTCGTTACAAGCCAAGAGTTGAATGAAAGTTGTTGGGATTTTACTTATTCTTATAATCTTATGATATTATAGTAGTTTATTTCATATCGAAGCTTTACCATGCTTTCTTTGTAATCAATTACCATTGTCGAATGACCTCAAAGACTGTGTGATGAAATTTATGAAACAGATTAATTATCTTGATAAGTTCTACTTCCTGATCTTATAATTGCTGTGTCTTTATACTCTTGCATTTGTTGTTAACAAAGAGATCGTAGTTAAAATTACCTGTACAGTGGCTCCCAGTCCGTCTCCTTGAACCACAGCACCATGGCCACTTTGTCGTCGGCCGACAAGGGCTGCGTGTCGCAGGGCAGAGACGCCTTTTTGCCGAGCACGCCCGTCACGTGAGCCGTCGGAACTACGACAAATCGAGTTAAATTATTAATAAGCAAAATTTTAAGTAGGCAAATGATTACGTAAAAGAATTGCGTCAATTAACTAATTACTGTACTGGAATATTCAAATTTCTAACTCAGCGAATGCAACTCGGCGAATAACGGTGAAACGGGAAATTCCATGAAATATAAAATGCGACACGGAGCTAATACTCATTTATTTAAATAGTATTAATTATAAGATGTACTTTCCTTTGAAAGCAGTTTTATCTTTTAAACCGTATCTGTCTCTAATTGTAGGTAAAGGACATGACTGTATACATGTGTTTTATGAAGTGTGTCAATTCGTTTTAAGCATTCGTAGTATTTTTATCGTAAACGACGTATTGGTTACATGATAATTACTAAAGCAGAACAACGCGAACTCTCCCAACTCTTTTCGCTCAAGTTTCGTTCAGCGCTATATTTATTGTTTTAAATTGCAAATAACCGGCTGAAGTTCGTCTCACTAAGAGCACGCTGTTCTGTTGCGCACACGTTATTTGTACAAATTGAGGGCGAAATAGTCTACGATATCGGGAAGCGAATATTCCTGTTGTTTCCGAGTCCGATATTTAATATTCCGTGCATTTTGATAGCTTTAACACAAAGTTTAAGTTGCACGAAGCCTTTAGGGTAGGCCGTGTCAGATTAATATCACTTTAATACAATAAAATTGTAACTATTCCACATACAATTCAACAAAAATATACAATACTATAAAAGGGTATCTTCAAATTCTCTCTACAACTAGTAAGATGTAATTAAAAATTGTCATTATACAATATAGTAATTTCAACCGTTTAATCGTTGACGCCCCACTAACTTCTACTCTATGTTTGATCCTGCCCCTTAAATTCAAATATAATTGACTTTTAATTTAACAGGACAATCTTGAGCAACTATATGCAAAAAATGAATTAAGTACTTGTAAAATTTTACACGTACAAAAAGATGATATAATGGCAAGGTGCCACCGTCCGTAATTTACCAGCGTGACGATCTCACGGTGTCAGTGGCACGTATGGTTTTACAGAAATTGCGGAGTTTAGTGAGGTAAATGACAGATTCAACGGAGCTGCGCCGTAACCGCAGACCACCTTAGACATACGCGTTGATTCCGTCAGAAGTATATTTCCTTACTCCGAGGCCTCACCTGAACTATTTGGTGCCTACCCCGGATATATTGAAGGTTATCTAGAGTCCTGACCATTCAAAACATTGGTTCTAAAGAATAATGTATAAAAATTTTTTAATTAATATAATACCGTTACGTGCAATATCATTACAAAAATATTAAAGCTCTCAAACTGTTTAGCCAATTTTATATATTTTAATTCGTACCTTTTATACGTGCATCCCTTTGCATCCTATTTTAAACGTCGCATTACTCATCCTTATTATATAAAGAGCAAATTCTAAAATACTTTACACGAGTTTAAACCCAAGAAATAAAAGTTCATACTGTCACCGAACAAACAAAAATGGAAAAAGAATGATATCACGGAAAGACAAAGTTAAAAAAGCGCCTGAATACAAAAACAAGGCTCAAGAGAAAAAAGAAATTTTCTTCTAGAAAACAAACAGATAAAGAAAATGAATCAAAACACGCACAGACAATTAAAAACAAGTTCAGTGACTGCGAGTGCCTTATATGTGGTGTTCTCTACAGTGAAGATACGACAAGAAATGATTGGGTCCAGTGTCTAATATGCAATAAAAGGGCACAAGATGGATGTATTAAAGGGGAATCTACATTATTTACATGCCCTGGATGTTTAGCTGATTGCGATTACAAAAAATAGTTTAAAAGAATTGAAACTAGACCGTTAAAACAATTATTTTTTTACTAAATTTAAGTAAAATACTCTTAGTAGATTTAAGTGACAATTTAAGTCACAATTTGTTACGAAACCTTCATTTTGTTAACTTTAAGAGATATTTTATTATTGAGACAGAGATTATTGTTATTCTTATGCTCAATAATTATTTGATGATTAATGTTCCTGTTGAAGGCTGTTTTAGGTTAGAATTAGTATCCAAGCTACGTTTAAAACTACTTTTTGTTATTATAAAATATACTTTTTTTATTACAAATTATTGTTAGGAGGCAAATTAAAAAAAAGTTAAATAAATGATTGATCTCGATTGATTTTTGTTACGTTCCTCAGCTTCCTGGTGACACTCTAAGTTTTCTGTGGACCAATTTCTTTGAAATGGCTATAACTCAAAAAATATTAAATATTTTGACTGTTCCCTTTAGAATAAGCTAAAAGACATAGTACTCTATGTATTAGACTAAATTTCGCCACCAAAATGTATATAAAATATCGAGCCAAAATCAGACGAATTCTTCCTTAATTTGTAGAACTACCCAAATACAGAATGTGAGAATAAACATTCTGTATTTAGCTAAATATAGCGCCCACGCTTATTTGAAAATGATTAGCTGCTTACTGCATTAAATACAAATTGCCTAGTCCACAACTCGAATAAATATCGAACCGAATGAGAACTGACGTACGTCGTTAACTACACAGATGGTGGGTATCACGGTCGTCAGCAGAATCCGATTGTTTACTATCACGCTATTGTGGACACTGAATACGTCCGTTTCCAGAACACCACACGTGGAGTCTTACAGTAAACAAATGCAGTGCGGCGCAAAGTAGCCGCGGAGGCGGGATATTTACGAAGCACTTCAAACAATTTTATGAAGATTTTTGTTACAGGCATTGATAGTAATATAAACGGATAACTGCTCCTAAGAACATGACTCACTATCACTATTTAGCGTCGTTTAGAGTTCATGAGTATAATTATCCCTCTTAAACTTCATTATTAACAATATTATTATGTTATTTATCTCATAAACTTCACTCTTTTACCATATCCAAGCCAGTCTAAAAACCGCGGTGCTTAGTGTGACAAGCACTCAGCAGCACAGCTGACCCTGGTACCGATTGCCATTCATATTTTTTTTATTATTTATTAAACTGAAACTCAAACCAAACCATTTATTCACAGCAATAATTTAATTACGAATTCACATATTTAATTGTAGTTTGATGGAATGTTGTAGAAAACTGTGTTCAAAAATTGGGAACACAATGTAACGAACAATTTAATTAACTCATTCATCAATCATTGTTTAAAATTTTTTTTTTAAATAGAAAACTAAAGCATGATTATTACGGTAATCTTATTCTTTTCTTATTTCACGATTGCAAACGACATGGAACTCATGTCACTCCGCTCGTAACACAGTCCAAGCGTAAAACGCCACATGTTTTAAACGTGTCTTTGTGGATTCCTCAAAGGCCAGTCGCACACTCGCCCCGGTGCAGTCTCGCCACCCGTTTGTTTTGAAACCCTTCAAAGCCACACGCCCAATAAGAAACCGAATCTATTGTCAAGTTTAAGGTTTAATCGGAAACCGTAAAAGCGATCGTGGTTGATTTATTGCGTTTTGCCAGAATCTACGATATCGTACCGTCTATTGTAAACTTTTCGTAGTAAAGGATTCACAGAAGTCACCGATCGAATTTTCTTACCATTACGATAACAATTTTAAAAATTTGCGCCACTAAGCAACGTATGTTTTAAATTGGACAACAAATTTAATATTTCCTATTCGTCGTAATAGGTTTTTCATTTTAGGGATATACAGCCAATAAGCCTATTGAAACACTAAGATAGCAAATGAGCACCGATTTATCTGGATATTTGTAGAATTCGAAATGCATTTACCAAAACACGATTCACGGTTCTGTTTTAATTTGCTCAAAGATAGGTTAGCCTTCTAATGTAAAGTGTACTTAATAATTAGAAAAGTGGTAAATGAGTTCAGTATACATTTCTCCGCGGACTTTTCCTCGAAAGCCTGGACACTGCGTTTCAATTGCGGTGGTCAAGATTGATGAATCTAATACGAAGGCAACTTTATTTGCTGAAAATCACAATTAAATCAACTAAATGGCAGATGTTTTCATCAAGTTAAGGAGACGGTTTTAATTATTGACCGTTTTTTGTTTATGTACCAAAGCTTTAGAAAACAGTGCATCGGTATTAGCTCAGTCCTGTCATAATTAATTACGAGTAACAAACAGCTTATGTAAATTCCACAACAAGCACAACGGTTATTCTGTATATTCAATGTACTTTGTACTTTGTAGTTCTTAAAGAGAATGATCCGGACACAATTAACGTCACTTCCACGTCCCTCAACAATTTGAAAACGTATGATAAATCAATAAACTCAATTCTTAAACTCTAACAACATTTTAGACAAGCTTAAATGTTGTTAGAGTTAAGAATTGAGATATTTCTTAAGTTAACCTTATATTATCACTTAGATAAACATATTATATGTATAGTAATAGTGTCTCTTACAATGGCGAAAGATATTTTTGCAAATAACGTCACAACATTAAGTGTAAACAAAATAATTGAATATCGCGACAAAAGTATTCGCACCAGTAATACATAACAGAGGCTAAAGAGCTTACCGCTGAATTTTGTTTGTGCGCAACCAATTCGCGTCTCTAATGAAAATATCTCGCACAATATCACAACACTGGATGATTGAGCATAATTATTGGGCATTCTGCCGCTTTGTTTACGGCAGTAACAAACGGTAGTGAATTCATTTATTATTTCATTACTAAGTAATCTCCATTTCCCATTTTGGAGCGGCGGCTGGCGTTTCGTTTGATGTTACATTATGTTACATTACAAAGCACTCGAATTATTTTCACGCTGCGCCGATTCGAGCTTACCTAAGTAAAAAATTAATTTGACGGCTTCTCGTAACTGGCCGTACTGTTTGGTAACGCTTTCCTATTTTACGACACAAACTAAACGGCCGTTTAATTAAAGCGCGACGCAAATATTTAGATTCAGATCAGAAGAGTAATTTACGCCATAAATAATATTCAACTAGGACCTATAAAGCTCGCACAAAGAAATGTTTTATTACGGAAGT